TCTCTCTCTCTCTCTCTCTCTCTCTCTCTCTCTCTCTCTCTCTCTCTCTCTCTCTCACACACACACACACACACACACACACACACACACGAAGAAGAAGAGGGAGGATGAGAAGAGGAAGAAGAGCGGTGGCTATGGAGAAGCAGAGAAGAATCAGGAGAAGAAGAAGCAGAACAAGAAGAAGATCTCTCCTCTCTCGCACTCTCCTGACGATGTTGCCATGAATACTGACCAGCGAAGGTGAATGACTCGTGATGCAGCTTGCTGCTGAAGGCCAGTCCCAGACCGGTATGAAGTCCCAGCTATGGCGCCCAGGTAAGTCTCTCTCTCCATCGTGGCTATGGCCTCTGCCAACCTCTCCACTCCCGCCTACTCCCCTACTCCTCTATCACTGCTACTCTATCGCAGCTCTCCCAAACTAGCCCAGCTATATAACGCTGTGCCTGGCTGAGCAGCTCTGGGTGTGCAATCATGGCCATCCGATCTAATGTCCGTTCGATGGTCCTAATTGCAGGCCCAAGTCCTGGTCCTACAATCCCGGCGAAGAACGCCCTGCCTGGGTCCCTACCTTACGTCCAGGCAACCCTGCTGATCCAGCAGGGTCCTCAGGACTGGGCCAGGCACAAACTGACGAATACCTGGCCCAGTCCCGGATGCGGACAAATCTGAACCCAGCCTAGAACGGCGGAAACTGAAATCGACTGATCCCGACAGGCATCTGCCTGCTCCGACAAAAAGAACAGTCCGAAACGACACATCTAAAATAGACAAAAATAGAACAGACAAAACTCAGCCCCTCAGCCAAAAAAATAAACGAATAAATACTGAACAAAAGAAAAGCAAATGGGACAAAAATCTGAACCTCTGCCTCACAGGTGGCCGTGAAAAACAAAAAAGAAAAAAAAGAAAAAAAACGTGCTCGTGGCCCACCAAGTTGCATAGCCAAAGGGGCTGTGCGGCGTGGGGGCCGCGAAGGAAAATGCCGGGGCTGAACGAAGGTCCTCCGTGTGGGAGCCCCTAGGATGCTACAGCAGGTCAGTTTGAGTCTCTGAAATTCTGTCCTCGGTCGGTTTGAGGACTGTTTGAGTCCGTTTGAGCCTCTTTTGAGGGTGTGTGAATCTGTTTGAGCTCCGTTTTGAGTCGGTTTGCAGTGTACAGGTCCATTTGAGTCTGTCTGTTTCTGTTTTCATCCTGTTTTGAATATGTTTGTGTCGGTTTTTCCTCTGTTTTTATTCTGTTCTGACTTCGGTTGAGTCTGTCTGATTCTCAGTCCATTCTAGGTAACCGTTTTTGTCAGTCTTTCTTGAGTCTGTCGGCCTGTTTGAGACTCTATGCAGTTCCGTTCTAAGTCAGTTTGAAGTCTGCTTGTGACTGTCATTTGACAGTTTGAGTCCGTTTGGGCCTGTTTTGAGTCTTCGTTACACGTGTCCTGGGAGATGAAATGGTTATCACACACCCAGGACAGACTCAATGGTATGGTCGGTGCACACCCAGCACAGACTCAATGGTATGGTCGTCACACACCCAGCACAGACTCAATGGTCGTCACACACCCAGCACAGACTCAATGGTCGTCACACACCCAGGACAGACTCAATGGTCGTCACACACCCAGGCCAGCACAGATACTCATTGAGAATGAGAACGTAAGGATGTAGCTGATCAATCATCTGACCACATACGGCAGGCTGAACATATGCAGCATAAAATTGTGCTTCGTGGCAGGGGGTAGCATGACTTGGGTGTGAGAGCGCACGACAATCGTGCTGTTTTCAGGGTGGCGATAGGAAAATAAGCTAGTTGCAAAGGGGCGTCATCTACCTAATCAACCTGTCAGTGAGATGTCTAATCTGGCCGGGCAAGGTTTCTCTTGCCATCTTGTGGGAACCAGTTAGACAGTACCATGCAGTTTGTGAGAAACGCTACTCACCATTATCATCTTGAGAAGTCACGGAAAAGAACTGCAGTGCGGTGTTGGGTGTCTGACACGTGGCCCCTCAGAAAGTGTGACACGTGACATCTCGACCAAATCAACCCCTATCGTTTAATATCTAGGCCCGCCAGGGTGTCCCCTCTTGCCAACGGCTGGGAGAGGCCTAGCGATTCATGCACATTTTGCACGAGAAAATGTTCCGTGTTTGCAGAAAGTGACGTGGATCAGCAATCACATTGGAGCGTTCAATTTGCAACACCTGTACTGTGTGCTATCGTTGAATGTTCGACGAGTGTAAAGTGCAAAATCTCTCCGGGGCCCTGAAAGTGTAATCTATCTTGCTGGTCTTTTCTTGATCCCCTTCTCTTTGTGTCTGTTCTCTGGCCTTTCTCTTCCCCCGTCGGTTCTCTTATCGACGTCTCTCCGATCTTTTTTCTGAATGCTTGCCGGTGACAAGGGCCTAGCTTCTTCCCCCGAATACAACGTTCGGTCATTATAGCTCTATCTAGACTGAAAGATGCCTCAAATACGGCTATAATGACCGTACGTTGTATTCGGGGGAAAGAAGGTAGTTCCTCCACCCGCTATCCGCAAAGCTTTTGAATGCATCTGCACAGCAGATTCATTTGGAATGTCGGCGGACGGCGAGTGGTGCAATTAGGACCTAAGTAACGGGATTTTTGCCCCCCATTCTCCATTTTTACGCCCTTCATTTACGAGTGTATCACACGTGTCATCTATCCGATCAGCCGCCTATCATATCCAAGCTCGCCAAGCTTTCCCCTCTTCCCATTCTGCAAGCGAAAGTGCAATTTTGCAGGCGAACGTGCCGTTGGGGAACACCTTGGTGCGCCATACACTGTTCACGCGCGACTCGGCCCGAGCGCACCCATCTCTTGTCTGATATTCAGCGGGGTATTCGGTGTGTGACGAGCACTGAGTGTGTGACGAGCATTGGGTGTGTGTCACACGTGGCCAGCCCAAAGTATTACCTATTTACACGTGTCATCTCTACCTCATCAAGTCATTTTGCAAGCGAAGGTGATCTTCCGGAACGTCCTGCTGCACCATACACAGTTCACGCGCGAGCGCGCCAATCTCCTACGACCTGATATACATGGAAACATTGGGTGTGTGACGACCAGTGAGTCTGTGACGAGAATTGAGTGTGTGGTGAATCTTGGGTGTGTGTCACGTGGGGTGCCACAAGCATGACCCGTGTCATACACCTAATCAAGCCATTGTGCAAGCAGAAGTGACGTCTGTGAACGTCTTGGTGCGCCGTACACAGTTAACACGCGAAAGCGGCTCATATCCGACGACCATATATACAGTGGAGCCTTGGGTGTGTGACAAGCATTGACTTCGCGACCACAAGTATTACACATGGGGTATTGTGTGTGTGCCCCACTGTATGTCAGGTCGCAGGAGATGAAAGCTTTCAAGTCTTGATTACCACCCTACACAGTAAACACCCCAAAGTCTTGATCTCCTGCGACCGGATACACAGCGGGGGAGTGGATGTGTGACGAGCATTGACTGAGTGGCAGGCATTGAGTGTGTGACGAGCATCGGTTCCGTGACACGTCGCGTACCACAAGGATTACACACACGTGTCATCATCCACGTAATCAACCCTCCATTACCATATCTAAACTTGCCAAGTTTTTCCCTTAGCCATATTCTGGGAATGCCGTCGCGTCCCATGCACTCTTTGAACGCGGATGTGTTCATCTCCTTCGGATTGATATACAGCGGGGCGTTGAGCGTGCGACACGTGGCAGGATGACACACCGACGTGTCATCGACGTCATCAACCCCTGTCATTCATGAACGTCTTGGCGTACCATTTGCAGTTCGTACGCCAAGTGGTGGACGAAGCACAGGAACTGTAGAGCGTTTGGGTGTGTGACACGTGGCCTCCCATTTCTCTAACCAACGAACAAGTCGAGAAGTCCCACGTTATCGTCTGGGAATCCTCTCGCATATTTTCCCCATTTACTCACGAAAAGATCTCTGTCCGAGACATTGACAAAACCTCCAAACACCTCATCCATGGTCGAAAACTCTAGTAGTTTGACATGGCCAAACGGTCCAAAACAAGACGCCACCTGGACGTCCGTCATATTACGTGTAATCTTTACGCGTGTCGCCTTCTCCATCCCAACCTCCGACGCCAAGRGACTGCCATTGACACAGTAAAGGGAGTCATCAGACAGCTCACCAGTGAGATTCRTCGTCCCCGCGACCTCCAGAAGCTTTCTATCAAACGGCCGTGAGACTGTTATGTCAGCGCCGTCAGGATCACTGTCCATGACCTTCTCCTTACCTTCCTTTTCCGTCCCGTTGCCCGGCCTTCCCACTCTGGGAGTGGAATGCGTCAGAGGAAGAGAAAGTGATGCCACTTCTTCTCCTTCCAGGACCGCAACGTTCAGCCTAGATCGCCGTAGATCTTGACTAATCCAGCGACTGCTCAAGAAATCACTGCCTCGAATCAACTCTCCATCTCCATTTTCGTCCATTGCCACTATGTTTAACACGTAATCAGTCCAGCCCCGATTTCGAGCCCCCGGCACTTTTCCCTTCCACATTTCCACCTTGCAACACATCGGCCACTCGCCGAACAGAGTTGGCATGATGAGGATCCTGTCCAGCACGAAGGCGATGGCGAGAGCGTCACGCAGCCACCCCAGCTGCAGCCTGCGCAAACTGAGGTTCTTCTCAGGATTGCTGGCTGCTTCGTCCAGCCGTTCGTCTGGAATCACATGTTGGTAGCGCAAGAAACCCCTCTCCGATGGAAACAGATATGAAGGAGGGTCCATGTCCCAGAGAGCGCAGTCTCTCAGCCGCATCCGCTTAATACTGTGTCCGCCATCTATGTAGGTCGAATGCATCACATACGGCGTGGGAAAACGGTGGCTAAAGGCCTCGTCTATGTTGTTGCCGGGGCCAACGACTACTGCATCCGCTCCTGTTCCGTTAGCATCAGTTACTGTAACGGAACCGTTACCAGATGCTGATGCTGCATCGGGTCCTGTTTCCAACCCTGAGGTTCGTCCTCCAGCTCTCCCAAGTGGACCAGGTTCTACTGAGCTGGAACCAGATGGTGGAATCGGCAAAGGGAGAGGAAGCCCGCTGTAGAAGAAGGATAAGCCGTTGACGAAGAGACCCTGAGGGAGTGCACCAATCAGTAGCAGGCTGTCGAAAAGACGATAGTAGATGCCTGAAGGGAGGACCAATTTCGAGGTAGCAGATGGGAGAATCACTTTCAACATGTCGTTGAACACCTGCTGATCCCACGCTTCGTTATTGGCACCAGACAGTCTGGAGGCCCACTCACGGAGCAGCCGGAGTGAAGGTTCCCGTCGCCGAACTAACATGAGACCAACGTTGAAGTGGTACTTCTCCCCGTCGCACGGCGGCCAGGGGCCAGGATCAACGGCATCCAGCCAGCTCGTGCCGCGCAAGAAAGCGTCATCAAACAACGCAAAGGGGCAGTCGGTGGAGGACAGAATGTCGGGCTCCGGATGGGAGAGGAAGTAGGGGAGGGGGTTTCTGAACCATACCTGGTCCGCATCCGCCATCAGGACATCGAATCCGGCTTCCAACACGTCGATGATCGATGCTGGCTTGATCTTCTGCATCTCCCTGAAGTATGCAATTGGGGACTTCCATGCAGACGACTCGGGGCCGAGCAACCCCCTTCTCGGGACGGCAACCGGTATCCCTCGCTTGTCGAGAGTCCTCAGCAGAGGCTCGTCTACAGCCACGACCAAGTAGTTACCCATACCCACCCTGTTGGCAGAGATCACCCAATTGAAGATCAAATCCTCCCATGCAGAGTTACCGAGAATCAGAACGATGAGGCTACCGTTAAGCGCCACCCTTGAGAGGAGCTCCTTCGTCATCAAGAAGCTGTCGACGTGAGGGACCTGGACATCCTGAACCACCACCTCCCCTTCCCCTTTCTTCCCCGGCTGCTGCGCCGGTTGCTGCTGCGGCGCTGGAGCAATGGAGCCGTTCACCATGTGTTCGTTATCTCGACTACCACTCTCCACGTGGCTATCGTTACCTGCCGGCGACTGTTGGGCTGTTCGGAGAAAGAACTTGCCTGCAATGCGTAGGAAGAATCGGGACCCCGACGGACGATCATCCTCCTCATGGCGTGCGGAACTCTCAGCCGAGCAAGCAGATGGAAGTCCAGTCGTGTGATTCCACGTGTAGTCCCCATCGGGATTGGGATAGTGCAAACGGAATGCTAGCCAATCAACGTCGCAGGGGACAAAGGACGGCGGCGGCGGCCGGGACGCGACGGCTGACGTGTACACACCCGGCCACCACGATAACTCCATATCCTGTGTGTAAAATTTATACACTGCCAGGGCCGACAGGATAAACAAGCCCTCGTACACGAAGACGCCGTTCCTCCGGGACTGGCAAATTCTTCCCATCCAACTACGCCTCTTCATATGGCCGTTGTCCTCAATAGACTGATGACCATCGCCATGTCTATGGCTATGGCTATGGCTTGTTAATCGCTTCATCTCGCCAGAAGGACTGGGAGTGCTGTTAGTACCATAACTGTTACACCGGAGCTTGAGCCGGTCGTGTTCGTTTTCTCTCGAGTCCCACCAGCACGGCTTGTCAACAGGAGCCAGGCTGAGTGAGTCCACGCCACCATTCTCCCTGTCGTTCTCGCCAATCTCCCTCTTGTTCTCATCTCTCACCTTCTCCTTCTCACCATTCTCCCTTTCGCTCTCCATGTCGATCTACGCCAGGTTGATCATGGCTCCATGATCCCTCCCTCTCGATTACTAAAACTCCCTCTAACCTGTCTTCCTAACCTCTTTCGATCCGTCTCCCTCTGGCCCTTCCATCTCCCTGCACCCCTCTACCGCCCTCCCTCCCCCACCCCCTCTTCTCTCTCTCTCTCTCTCTCTCTCTCTCTCTCTCTCTCTCTCTCTCTCTCTCTCTCT